AAAAAAAAAAAAAAAGAATTACAAGAAAAGCTGGCAAGAATACAACATCCTGAATCCAAGGCCCAGAATGAGCACGCACACAAAAAAAAAAAACCTAAAAACAAAAGCTTTAATGTACTATTATAGTCAATTTGAGGTATGAATTACAAACCAAATCTTCAAAATCCTTCATTAGTATACACATACAAGTAACATAAACATCAAGATATTTTCCCCTAAATGTAGGCAGCAAAACTGGTTTAAGTCTGTTAGAACATATAAAAAATTTTTATGTAAAACAAAATTCTACTACCACAAACCTTTTCCATTTTCTGTTCCAGTTCATTGTTATCTTTCTCCATTTGCTTTTTTCGACTATCCAAGGCCTTAATTTCATTGTCAAGTTTCATTACTCTAGCAAGATTATCTTCAATGTCTTTTAGACGATCCTGAAAATAAATAAGTATTCTATACAAATAGAATTCACAATGCTGATGATGGATTTGCAAAGGCCAGGCACTTAATGCTAACACTGAGAAAATATTTAATGTTACTATCAGGACTGTAGAAGAGACAGAGAAATTGAACATCAAAGACAGGAAGTGATTTGTCCACAGGCTCTCCTAGTAGATAAAGCAGAAATTAAATTCTACTTTCAACCTCATGCCCTGACCTCAACAATGCACACACTAGTCATTCATTCTTAAGATGCTGTGTTGCAATATGTGGAGTATTACATTTTTAAGAATTTAATCCTTGGGGCTGGGAAGGTGGCTCAGTGGTAGAGCGCTTGCCTTGCATGCATGAGGCCCTGGGTTTGATTCCCCAGCATCACATAAGCAAAAAGAAAAAAAGCTGGAAGTGGGCGCTGTGGCTCAAGTGGTAGCACGCTAGCCTTGAGCTGAAGAGCTGAGGGACAGTACCCAGGCCCAGGCTCCCCAACCGGACTCAAAAAAAAAAAAAAAAGATACTTCAGAATACCAGAGTCTAAACGTCATATACTTCAAGATTAGATTACTTAAGTAGCTTACAGTTTTTGTGAGCTCC